ACCACCAACACCCTAACCATTGCCTTCCGCTCGCTTTCGTATCCAGAAAGCCCTTGTCTTCGGCAATCTCCCGCTCACTAGCATTGATGCCAAGACTTGTCGCTTCCGCGTTCAACCCTAGCCGTTCTCGTTCCTGACACGATGAACTCCAACATGGCGTCTTTGATGGACCTTGTGTCCCAAAACCAACCCAAATTCCAAACACACCAAGCCCTTGTTCTCGTTGGACTTCAGAACGACTTTGTGACCTCAGAAGGACGACTGCCGGTTGACAGCCAGACGGGCTTTCTGGAGCGCATCCAGACTTTGATTCCGAAATTCAGGGAGCTCAGCGGCAATGTCATTTGGGTCCAGACGCTGTACGAAGCCGATCGCATCGCGACTGGCGCCGACACGGGTGCGGGAGACACGCTTGTCGTAGAAGGGCTGCTCGACGGCGAGGAAAACAACAATGAAGCTGAGGAAGAGTTAGCCAAGGAAGCAGCGTCGCTGCCAGCGCCCTCCAGATCCTCAAAACACAAGGAACGCGCGCTAGCCCTGCTGAAACGCGTGTCTGCACGACGAAAGACGCTGCCAAAGGAAGTCGCAAAAGCCAAGGCTGAAGAAGACGAGGAGCTGTTCCTGTTGAAGAGCGAGAAGAGAACGCCAGCATGCGTGCCCGATACGCGTGGCGCCGAGTTTGCAGATGCTATCGCGAAGCAGATCGAGCTACCTGCAGACGTTGTGATACAAACGACCAATTACTCCGCCTTCCAGGGCACCGACATGCTCATGACACTGCGCGCAAGACTCATTACCGAACTCTTCATCTGCGGATGCATCACCAATGTTTCTGTGCTTGCGACTGTCATCGATGCAGCGCGGCATGGTGTCAAGATCCATGTCATAGAAGACTGCTTGGGCTTCCGCAGGGAAAACCGACACGAACTGGCGCTGAAGCGCATGGAAGATTTCTTCAGCACGTATTTGGTCAACAGTGAAGAGATACTCAAGGAGGATACGACGATAATTGCGACAAAGACAACAGCGCCTGCGGATGGCGCGAAGAGCGAGCAGACTATGGAGGAGCGTATGGCTAAATTGTCTCTCGCAAGGGACATCATAGAGAAGAGGGCTGCACAGGGTGCTGCAGGTGCCGCGGAAGATAAGACAGAAGGGGACAAGCCGGAACTTGTCAAGTCGAAGGTTCGAATGAGGAAGAATAGGAAGAGCAAGAAGAAAGCGAAGGACAGAGAAGCATCAAAGGAAGATGGTGAAGAGGCGAATGGCGAGCCGAGCACGACGGCGAACCAGGTTACGAAAGATCCATCTCCGCCAATCACTACGGCACTGACAGTCATACCACAGTCCGCATCGGCTGAGCCTCAACGAATGTCCAAGATTGCAAAAGCTGGGAGTGTTGCAGATTTGCGGCAGAAGGATAGCAAGCAGCATATGCTGAAGAATGCTAGCTCGGTACCTGCATTGTCCGCGAAGGCTGGTGATGAGAAGGAGAAAAGCAGGTTGACTGAACTCTCGGATCGCGTGCGCATGTCACTCACTAGGGCACCAAAGTCTGAGTCGGGGTCTGAGTCAAAGAGAGGGTCCATCAGTTCTGCAAAGCCTGCACCAACCACCCCGAAGCAAGACGACAGGGAAATCAAGCTACCGACTGTAGAAGCTGCACGGCCAGAACAACCTCCTGTCAGCACGCCAGAAGCCAGTTCGCCATCATCAACAAAGACACCTACAAAAGCCGCAACGATGGGTAAGCCGCCCAAGTTGCAGTCACTCGCAACGTTCCCCGTCCTAGGGCCTGGCGATCACATTGCAGAAGGCGACTCACGCATCATCCACGATTTCTTCCCCGCCGACTACTTCCACCCGTCCGAACCAGCAAAACCACTCAAAGACACCATCTTCACCCAACTCTACAACGAAGTCCGATGGCAAAAGATGCTCCACCAACAAGGCGAAGTACCCCGTCTAGTATGCTGCCAGGGCGCCTTCGGCGACGACGGCTCAATGCCCGTATACCGGCACCCATCCGACCAAACCCTGCCCCTAATGCGCTTCTCCCCCAAAGTCCACGTCATACGAAAGCGCGCCGAGGCGCTCGTCGGCCACCCATTAAACCACGTGCTAATCCAACTCTACCGCTCCGGCAACGACTTCATCTCCGAGCACTCGGACAAGACGCTCGACATCGCAAAAGGCTCCTCCATCGTCAACGTAAGCTTCGGTTCGCAACGCACCATGCGGCTCCGCACCAAGAAAGCCGAATCACAAGCAAAACCAGAAGAAGAAGAAGACCCCTCACCCGCGTCTTCACCACGCTCAACCCAGCGCGTCCACCTCCCCCATAACTCCATGTTCACCCTCGGCCTCGCCTCAAACGCAAAATGGCTCCACGGCATCCAGCCCGACAAGCGCCTGCCCGCCGAACGCAGCGAAACGGAAAACGCATATGGAGGCATACGCATCAGTCTGACGTTCCGCCACATAGCCACGTGCATCGATTGCCGCAGCACCATCATCTGGGGCCAAGGCGCGACGTCGAAAACGCAACGCGACGCCGCTGATATCGTTGCGAATGACGAGGCGGAGACGAAACGCCTCATCACTGCTTTTAGCCGCGAGAATCACAATGTCGAGTTTGAGTGGGAGAAGTGGTATGGTGAGGGGTTTGATGTTTTGCACCTCCATGAGCCGCCGGGTGATGATACACCGCTGCTTTTCCTGTCGAATGACAGTGTGCAGAATGATCAAGTGCTTATCTGTCTAGCGGAAGCGAAAGTGCCGTATACGGTTGTTGAAGCACCGGATCTAGATTCGTCGTTTGAACGGGACAGACAGATTATGTTCCGTGATGTCGATGTTCAGCATTCGGAGATTCACACGCCGATGGGTATATTACTGTACCTAGACCGATATCACCCCCTCGATAAAAGCCATTCTGCGAATTTGGCGAGCGCGAATGCGTTTCCGGTTATACTGTTAGCGGAGGAGATTTTGGGGGTTTGGCGGAATCAGCAGAACCCAAGGAGAAGTGGAGGAACTGAGGGGAGGGGGGAAATACGGGGGGATACTACTCCTACTTCTACTTCTACTACTCCTACTCCTACTACTCCTACTCCTACTACTCCTACTCCTACTACCACCACCATCAACCCCGCCTTACAGAACCTCCTAGCGCGTCTAGAAGAAACTGTAGAGAGGAACGGAGGACCGTTTGTAGCGGGGAGTAGGTTTAGTGTTGCGGATGCGTTTGTTTGGCCGGTTGTACATGGGTTGGTTGGGGAGTGGGAGGGCTGGGAGGAGGCACGATTTGCCAAGTTGGATGAGTGGTATCGCGGGTGTTGGAAGAGGAAAGCGTGTGTTAAGAAGGTGGCGGAGAGGTTGGCTGTGTCGGGGAAGGGGAAGGTTGGCGGGGAGGAGGGGAAGGAGTAGGAAGGCAAGGTTGTGGGAGATAAAGGGGAAGGAGAAAGGCTAGGTGATAGGATAGGGCAAGTTGAATATATAGTGCGATTGCATGGTAGGTGTTGGGACATGGGCTGTCTCGTATTCCCATTGAACCCCCTTGACGTCTAGGTCGTTTATTAATTACCCTTTCAGCTACCAAAACCATCAATCTTGCTCAAATCCAAGCCATCAAGGAAACTCAAACGTAACCCTTTTCCCACCCCCTTTCTTCGTCTCTACCTTCGCTACCACTCCCTTCCACCCTTCTTCACCCACCACCCCAAACGCCCCAACCCACCTCTCCGCAACCATAACCGCATGTCCCCACCTCACCCTCTTCCACCCCCCTTTCCTAAACTCATCCAACAGAATATGGCCCAACACATGTATATCCCTCCTCGCCCGCGTCAACCGCTCCGTCGTCGTCCGCCCGCTCATCCTATACCCATGTCCGGTTGGCCCCTCCAAGCTCGGCATCATACAAAGCGCAGCATGCAACCTTGCTTTGTTCCGCATGAAGATGTTCTGCTGACTCAGATCATGGGGAGGGCAGGGAGGATGCATGTACCCCGCTGCCAGACCGAAGATGCCCCAGCCGAAGGACTCTTGTGGTAAATCACCCCGGCAGAGTATTTCTTCCAAGACAACGACGGAACTGTCCCAGAGGAGGGTGAAGAGGTCGAGGTCGGATTTTGTGGGGCTGGGGGGTTGGAAGGTGTAGGTGCTATAAGTACTGTCTTGGGCGGAGGCTAGGGTGAGGGCGAGGGATTTGAGGGTTGGGGAAGAGGGGTTTGGGGGGAATGGTGGTTTGGGGGGTTTGAGGGAGCGTGTGAAGACTGATGTGGTGGGGAGGGTGGTGTAGGGGCCGTGGTGGGTGATTAGGGCTTTGGCGTGGGAGAGGAGGTGGAGGAAGCGGGTGGTGTTTGTCATGTGGATGGCGGAGGCGAGGATTTCTTTGTTGGGTGGCAAGGCGGATCGCCCGTCGTCTCTTGTTGGAGGATGGCTGTGAGATGGATTGGGGACGGCGGAGGCGGGGATGCCTTCGTTGGATGGGAGAACGGGTCGTTCGCCATCTAATGTGGGAATACAGTGGCGAGATTGACTGGAGGCCTCTGTCAATGGTGTGGGTTTCTCAGCCATACCGTGATCAGTATGGCTACCTGGTGTGGATACGCTGCTATTGGCAAAGTACGATTTTGCAGCTGAACAGGCACTGTTGAGATTGTGATGGTACCGCGAGTGAGACTGAGAGCTCAGGAGCGGCGGGTGGAGATGAAATTGTGGGTGACGTGAATGACAGCCAGCGTTGGTGAATGTGTTCCGCGCAGGTGACGCCACGCTCCAAATGCTCTCACGCTTTAATTGATCTGACGACTGATCTAGTGACGTTGGACCGCGTGTCCGTCAGAGCGCCGCGACATGGTGAGTCGATGAGACATAGCTTCTATGACACGGCGTGTCGCCAGGTATCTTTGACCGCTTGAAGTGAGAATGTGGCCCGTTTGCTCAACTGAGATGATTGAGATGGCGGTGAGACATACTGTACTCGTTGCGAGAGTTCACTCGGGCACTCGGAATACAGGGCTCAGAATACTCCCGCGAGTGAAGCTATGTCTGAGGCTGTCGCGCAGTTGAAGCCTCGGAGGTGCTTCGGGAAGCTTCGCAGGGCCCTCGTATTGTTGCTGAACCGTGACAGTGTGTATAATCTGCCCCTCTGGAGTTTCCGGTACATCTTCGTCTGTAACGACAATTTTCGGCGGGGACAGGTTCTCTTCCAGGTCTATGTCGTGAGGTCCATGAATCTGTATGGTAGTCATGGTACCAGGAATTGTAGGGACTAGATCAGAAGGGCTCAAACTACGGCGATATCCGCGGCGATGTTTTTTTCGTATGCGACCACCTTCTTGTGAAGGGTAGTAGTTGCGGCCCCGTTCTTCACGGGGTGCGTCGGCTAGACCCATCTTCCATAGACAGTGGCGGACGAGCGGACGGAGTGTCGCGATGCTGCCTGCGGTGATGACGATCCCGGGTTCGATAGTGCTCCACAAGGCGACGTCAGTTGTAGCATACAAGAAGTCGGGGCCTTGGACGAGTGTGTGAATGTACGCCATGCGGATCGCTGTACCGGTGCTTCCAATCGCTGCGAATGCAAGAATACCGGCGACCAATAGCTTTGTCTTGGTCCTCATCTCCAAGCCCCAGACGATGAAGAAAGGAAGCAAGCCGAATGCCCAATCAGCCATTGCGTTGATGGCGGCGAGGGCATAAGTAATCCCCAGAGTTGGCCCGTTGTGTATGCATCTGTCTGAGGCGGGGTGCACGTTCCAAAAGTCCGAAACTGGATCCATTAGCGAATTTGACAACGAGCGCTTGATTGATGCTTACTGGGAATGCATTGAAGCAAGACTAGAAAGAAGTAGACAAGACCGCATAGAACAGTGCCTAGCATGAGTATCCGGATGGCCCAAATGTGCCAGCGCTCAATCGCGACCCGCAGGTAGAAGTAGCCGATGGCAAACTTGAGCAGACAGTTCGCCATCACGTAGAACAGCTCGCACAGGTACCAGAACTGTATCGAGTCAGATGTCAGATAATGTGATGAAGGTTTTACCCTTACCAAGAGTGCTGTCTTCGCATCGCTATCGCTCAACTCCCATCGATGGCGACCAGTTCCGTGCATCGCGGCAATGATCTGACATGGTAGGTATACAGTGAACGTCAACTGCAAGCTTGATCAGCATAATCTCCGATTGAACACGAGACGTGACAACTTACTAGTGCCGCAACCATGTACGAGTCATCTTTTCCCCATGTCTTCATCAGTACTGCGCGTACGTAGATCCGTAGGAGAACAGTCGTCCATGTGAGCACAAAGAACAGTGCAGCCACGGCGAACACTTCGGGACTGCGGTCGTCTTTGCTCATGTCGGAGATGCTTTCCGGCTATCAAAGCTTCGTTGTCTTTCCGTTATAGCGATGCGATCTCTCATAGCTACCGACAGTCGTTGATCCGAAGTATTGCTGGCCGTATCCTACGCGTTGAGAAACTTCATCGACAAACAACGAGATGCCGAGGAAGGCTCCAATATTAGCAGACCCTGGAGCATAGGCACCGTTGATAGTGGTCCCAGGCGCGTAGTCTCCGAAACTGGCCAGAAGCCCTGCCGCGCAAGACCAGTGGAAGCCAATGACCCACTATTGAAGATCGCGTTCTTAACCGAGTCATGAACGATGTGCCGGACGGTCTATTCGTTGCGAAAGAGCGGTAACTTCGATGGCGGCCTCTTAGGCTGCATACCTCAGCTGCCAACCTCAACACGGAGGCATCTCCTCAGGACAAGCCACACGGTTAATATCATGCAAGTAACTTTTGACATGTTCGGTCGAGACGTGAACTGCCGGAAGACTAGGTGGTAGATCTGCAGATTGACTTTGTGCAGACATCATCGGTACCGACCGGAGGGCCAACCGTTGAGATGCGGAGGGAGACTCCTAGCGGCGGCTTCAGGCTGGGAAAAGAACATGATACACGGCATGCGCTGCCACGGCCAAGCCACAGATCCGAATCCGAAAGCCGTGATGGCCCAACGCGGGTTGAAGCAGTCTAATGTTTTGGAGTTGTGGTTAGGCGCGTCTGGGCAGGACGGCGATTGCCGTGCCGCGGTAGATCGGCACAGGGATACCCGTTGAGCGAAAGGGTTAACCTGGCCTGGCCACATGGCAGTGCGGTACGCCATCTTCAAGGCTGCTTTCAATTTTGTAATCTACTCGTCATTGTCACCGCGATCGCCACAATAGCATCACGACTTCGACGTTTTGAGGAGCGGAGAGCGAGTGGTTCGGCATCGCAAGCGCAGACATCGCAGTTCCCCATCCCGCCAGCCGTTACGCCATGTCTTAGGGCCGATTGCGTGCTGTCCAAACCAAGAGGACAGACCCCTATCATCGACACTGCGATTATTCACCCTCTCCTCACAGCTTGCCAACGCTCTGGCGGAGTCTGTCGCTTATTCGCAGCACGGGTTGCGACAGATCACGGTATCACAAACTTCTAGGACGCGTTACTCCCATCCCATCTTGATAGGCTTATGTATCCTCCCTGATTGATCCGCAGGTAATCTTCAACTCACAGGCAATCCTTTCATACTCTCGGTGAGTGCTAGACATCGTGATTTGTAGCAATGGCTTGCCGGCCAGGTAAGCGAGGTTGCAGATGCCGGCAAACTGCTTGCGTCGGGTAGAGACATCGAATTGCTGTCTTGAGCACAGTCGCACACCCGCGAATATAATGGAACACAACCGTTCGGATCTCATCCTCTCACCGTTCCTTCCAAGTCGTATTTCAACCATCTCTTTGTATACTCACTACACCAAGGCTGTCCATAACAGCGATCTGTATCCAAAGATTCCCTTTTTGTTTGTTTGTTGATATGACTACCCAAGCTTATAGCACTTGCGCCCTTCCGGAAGGTCTTCGCTACTATCTTCTTCGTGGCAGCGTGATGGTTCCGCTGGTACCAGTAGACCAGCTGCCCTTCCAGCTACAAGGCATCCCACGCCAGTTGACCCATCGTCAGATCTCAGATGGGGCCTGGAAGCTTTGCTCAGAGACGGACGAGATTCCTTCGGCCCTACTGATCCAAGCGCCCACATCCAGCAGCTTCTCGCCTCGCTCCACTACGACGACGCAGTCACGGTACCTGGCACCAGACCATCATGTACGTGCGGAGCCGCAAACAATGCCCGTGAGCGGCACTCGCTCTCCTCGACTATCTCAGCAGCTCCCAGCTATCGTAAACTCGCCAGAACCACCTCGTCCGACCCCTATCGCTACTATCGAACGCCCGTCCTCACTCACCGACACCTTCGCCTCCATCTACCAGAAAGATGCGCAGCGCCTCGGATACCGCGTGCCCCACCCATCTGGCATCGAGCCCGATCCATCCAAGAAAGAGTACTGCACACACTGGATCAAGACAGGCGAATGTGACTGGACAGCTATCGGGTGCAAGTTCAAGCACGAGATGCCCGGCATCGAGAAGCTACGTGAACTGGGTTTCGTTAGAGGCATACCGAAATGGTGGAAGGAGAAGTCGGCTATCGGTCCCAGGCCGCCTACCTGGATGCAGCGAAGGCTAGCAGCGAACGAGGATGCAGACCGTGATGGTGCGATACCGGAAGCAAGAGTCTTCCCCGACCCTTCGACATTTCGAACGAGGAAGAGTGAAGAGCGTGATCTACTTGGTGACGACGTACAGCAGCCGCGTGGTATCTTCAAGAGGAGCCCGTCTCCCAGACCGGCTGCATTGGGACGACTGACTCCTCCACCAGCGCTGGCCCCGCCAACGATTCGTCGTGCTAGCCAAGTATCAGATCTGCTCATCGATCTTGACGATACCCCTGCCCCTCCACCCAGCCCTGAGTCATCTCGCACTTCAGTAGCCAGTTCAGGATCCAGTGAGGTACAAATCTCCTCCAGTCGCCCCTCTACCTCGCCACCTTCGTCGCCTAGCATCGAGTGTAAGACCTCGTCACCGATCGATAGCAAACCACCCCCAAAGGCTGTCGCTGCCAGGAAGACATCAAACAAAGACGCCACCACCCGGCGCCACTCGCAGCTCTCATGGGCCTCTGACACCGAAGACGATACCCCCGCCCCGACCAAGCCATACCCCAAAACCCCTCGACCAGCCCAACAACGACGCAGACCCGCTCCTCGCGGCGATAGCAGACGCGCCGCCACAGCTTCCACGACCCCGACCAAGCATTCCGGTCTTGCAGCTTCTAAGCACGCCACCAATAATCCCGCTGTAAACAACAGTGCAAGTCATGGCAAGAACGCGAACCGTAGGATTCAAGGTAAACATATGGAAGATGTCGACGTACCTGAGCTGCATGCCAAGATTGAGCAGTTGCGCAGGGAGGCGCATCAGAAGGAGAGGGTGAGGAAGGGTGCTGTGGTGGCGGCGCCTGCAGTTGGTAGACGGACAGCTGTGTGAGTGGAAGGGGTGTGCGAAGGTGGTAGGTGATGAGTGAGTTGTGCGAAACGCGAAAAATTGGGGGTGTAGTGGTAGTATAGCTGTATCGGATGAGTGTTTTGCTCAAAAGTGTCTGCCTCTACTTTCTTTAACATAGACTTAGGCGTTGTTGTTCTTCGACGGATTCAGTTCTACAACAAGCCCTTGTGTTGGCCATACTTCTCTCTCCGGGGGGACCTGATTGGATCGATACATACGCAGTTCTACGACCACATTTGTCTGACATGACGTTCAAATGCATCGCCCGAGAGACTACGCGTGCGTTCATCGCCCAAAAGGGTCGGACTGAATCGCCCTTTCACTGTTAATTAGTTCATCCCTCTAAGCGAGGCAGCAGTCTCAAAGCGCACTGACGCGCTTCTTTCGCGCCTCCTACCTCTATATAATGCCCTTCACACTTCCAGACCCACTCCACGCTTGCTGCACCTCGATTGAGATCGCTCAACCGCAAGCTTGGAGCAAAAAAACCGCTCGCAGAATCACTATGACAGAGCACACGCTCTCCTCAACTACCGCCAACAGCGCCTACCGCAAGTTGCAAATGAAGGCTGCCGCAGTGGACACGCCAGTTCCAGTCGTTCAAGACGCCATGTTCTTCACACTGCTGAACCTAGACGTACGCATGAGCATCTACGACTTTCTGTATGGATGTCTTCCCCCATTACGATACAAGAATCCCCGGACGCCTGGAATTGGGCCTGGTATGTTGCTGGCTTGTAAGCAGGCAAATTTGGTATGTTGTTGTCGTCACCGTCGAGGTTTGAACACAGCCTACCCTCTATGACTTTACATGACTTTGGAGTTGTGTCAAATTTAGCTCTCATGCTAGTATAGATGGCGATGTAACTGTTCAGACTTTTCGTCAAATGAGGTGCCGTCAAAGCACTGTATGCGGTGAGCTAGGCTAACATGTCGCAGGAGCTTTCGGAAGCAGCGGCTCGCCATCTGAAGAAGCATCTCGATAGATTCTCCCAGAGGTTCGAGAAAGAGCATGGGCATGCGATCAAGTTGTTCGGCAGCATACCGCTTTATCAGGGGTGGGAGGCGCTGCGGACCATCACACTCACACTGGATGTCAACATCTTCACTGAGGCTCTCGCAGAGATTGCGATGATACCCGAAGCTGAGAAGGATAACTGGCGTCGTAGAGAAGTTTTGGAGAAGCTCGAGCTGCACGTCGGTACAAGCTGGAAGGGCAAATCTCCACAGTTGCGCGCACTCCTGCTTCGTCCATTCGACAAAGTCACACTGCTGATTACAGACACATCCGAGGATAAAGACAAAGATGCGACCGTCCAACTTGAAAATTACAGCCACATCGTCGACATACTGCGAAACAGCCTTCAAAGCATAGGCGACGAAATCGGCTACAACTGGCTCATGTACCAAGACGCGCTAGACTGGGATGCCATCTGTGAACAAGAAGACGAAGACCCGCCAGCTCCTAAGCGCAAATGGTACAAGACCGCAGAGCTTTTCCGCTTCGCGCGCGTGCAATACGAGCGGCTTAGCAATAGTGACTTAAGAGAGGAAGTCGAGGAAGCAGGTCTGCTGGGATACAAGACTCGCCGCCGTATCCAGACCAAACAAATCAACTTCGCATGGAACTTCCTCCCTAGCACCACGCCTGCGCCCAAGAAACTGGTTGGTAAGAAACACACTTACACAGCTGAACACGCCGACGCTCTCCGCAGGACAGATCAGCTCCGCAAGCTCAAGTACGAAAACCAGTGGCCGCACAAGTACGAAGTAGCTGCTGCGGACGGGCTGATCGGTGAGATGGGCATTCGACATCCCAAGCGCTGGGTCCTGGCGAGTGAAGAGTATTGCGAGTACTATGCTATGATGGGGCAGTTGAAAGATGCGGAGGATGTGGAGAGTAAGGGTATCGGGATGCCGCTTTGGAAAGCGAAACCAAGGGCTAAGAACGGGGAGGGGGATGGAAGGGCTGAGGAAACTGCCGAGGAAGAGGCTGAGGAGGAGATTGACGAAAATGTTCAGGAGGAGGTTAAGGAAGACGTTGTAATCGAGGTCGAGGAGGAGATGTGGGAAGAGTCTGAGTCAGAATCCGAGTCTGGTGATGAGGGTTACAGTGACGAAGATGACGAAGATGACGAAGAGAATGACGACGAGGACGACGACGAGGACGATAAAGAGGATGACGACGAAGATGAGGAAAAGGTTGAGGATCAGGTCGAGGTCAAACTTGAAACTGAGGGTAAGAACCAGACTCGGATGACCGATTTCTGAAAAAAGGCCTAGCGTATCAGGGCGTGGGGATACGATGCGTCGATGAAGTATGTATACATCGACTCTTCTACCCCCGTTGCAACAGCAGAAGCAGGAGACATTATCGATAATCTCAAGTAAGCTTTTCAGATATGTCAGCATCAACAAAGCCATCAAACACGTTCCCTTTCCAATAACAAGCCCGGAAAACACCGCTGCAGTGCTATCCCATTGAAATTGCGAGCTGCCCCCAACCCTATCGAAGGAGAAATAGAGACGCCGAATAATACGCCGAGGATGCCGCTTCTTCATCAAACCAAAAGAAAATGCCCTAAACCCCATCCTTGCACACTCATGTACTACTTGCCACAAGCCGCCGCCTCTGCCGCCAAAATCATCTGACAAAAGAACAAAAAGTAATCAACAGCCAGCGCATTTCCCAACACGTACTTCCGTCGCTTACGCACCCCACTTCTTGACCGCCTCGCCCAGCTCTTTCGTTAACCCACGCCTCACAGCCAGCAGCTCTTCTTTCGCATTCTCAGCCTCTTTCTCGCTTCTCTCGACCCGTCCTCTTAGTTTTTCCACTTCATTTCTTAGTTCCTTGCGTAGTTCTTTGCTTGCTTCTTCCACAGCTGTTAACCGGTCTACTTCCACCCTTAGCTTTTCGCCTGATGTTTCGACAGATTCCAACCGCTCTTTCATGGCCATCATCTCTTTTCTCATGTTCTCAGACTCTTTCTTTAGCGCGTCGGATTCGATTTGTAGTCCGCGGTAGGCGTGGGATTCCTTCTCCATACGCTTCTGGAGGTCGGTTTTTTCGGTCTCTAGGCTGGTGTTTGAGGCTTTGAGACCGGCGTTTTCGTCTTTGAGGTGTTGGATTCGATCTGTTAATGCGCGGTTCACACGCTCTGGTGCTGGACTGCGTGGGCTGAGGATAGATAATGGTGATGGGACGGAAGTTGAGTCTTTGAGATTTGAGGGTGGCACGATTTGCTCGCTGACGGTGCGACGGTGTTTCTTGGGACGAATAGCCGATGCAATGCTGGGGTAGTCTTCATCGCGTTCGCGTTTGATCTTGACGCTCAAGTTATCTGTTGCTGCGCGTTTGATGGATGGCGGCTGGACCTGGATGTCTTCCGGTATGGACCTTGATAATGACGCTGCCTCTAGTCAGTAAATTATCGACCAAATGACAATCAAAATTGACATACAGACGGTAGATGATCGCTTTGGCCGAACAGCGATCGAATCCTTTTCAATGGGCGTACTGGGTTCCGATTTCCTAGACGGCGGCAGCAATGGTCTTTCCCCCTCGTTCTGCACCCACAAACACGCGTCTCGGAAATTCCTGGTAAACATGGTAGGATCTGATCTCGTCCGACATAACTCCTTCACGTGGCCAGCAGCCAAGAAATAGTAGAGAATGAGGGCCGACACACGATGGATGGCTTTGGAGCCGCCGGTATCGTCTCCAACATCACAAAAAGGCGCATGGAAAGCAACAGTACTGGTACTATTCACAGCTTGCAACTCGTGTGCGCCGTCCTCCAACTCGGTAATGCGATAAAAGCTGACCTCGGCCTCATCTTCGTGGACGTGCGCGGTGACCCGATCTATGGGTTCATCGTCGTCGCCCGCGGGGCCTGGCGCATATCCGCCGATGACAAGCAATTGCTTGTGGGTGGAGCGGCCGAGCCCTCGCCAGATGGCTCTGCTGATGGTGAAGCTCTCGTCGAACTGGATCCAATGCAGTCTTGCGGCGCGTGGCAGGGCGCGAAACGGCGCGGCAAAATTCGCACGCGCCCATGCTTGGACATTTTCGTTTGTCAGGGGCGATCTTGTCTCATGGAAGTCGGCCATTGTGGCGATTGATTGGCGTGGTGTCACCCGTTGTTGCGCTGGATTTCAATGGGGCGCGCCTTGATTCGCAGACGCGGAGGCTGCGCAATTGCGGGTCGTGGGGTGGTGACGAGCTGGTGCTGTTCCTGGTCGCGGTGAAGAATTGTACGACGAGCACAGGTCGCCGCCATTGAAGCCCGTTGGTGGTCGGATCACGGCGACATTGCTCGAGAAAGCTGTGTAGAGGTTGACGCAGGCAGAAGTCAGGCGGGAATCCTTCCGCTGCCCGTTATTTGCGGGGCTGGCAGTGGCTGGACGACTAGAACGGAAGGTGTGCAGCGCAACCCATTTTAACACATGCAAGACGGCCATCATCCCAATCGTCATCGCACAGTTGCATGTTTCGGTGTTTTGCATCCATCGCGCTGCATATCTAGTTCTGGACTTGCGCGATAAGGGTGCTGAGCGTCCGTAAAGCGCTGGTTCCGGGTACCGAGGTACCTCTTGTTGTCGAGCGCATCGCGCGCTTAGCCCCGAAGAGACCTGATACACTTGGCAATAGTATCAAAATAGCTAGAGCTGGATTAAGGTTGCAGGTGCGCCGGACAAGGTTCAGGATGGTCCTGGTCAGGCCGGGCGATGAGTTCATCGGCAGTTCACGGATGCTTGCGCTAGTGGTCGAGACCATCATCTTCCTCATGTTGTGCATGTGCTATGCATGGGTACGTCGGGAACTGCACTCAGCAATCGTGAACATCTACATGATGGCAGTGATGCCAATGGGGGCTGATGTGTGATACAGGTCAACACTTGAATTTTCACGACGGCCAATTGGTACAGCGGAAACTGTGGTAGTACAAGCGAACTCGCCGATGCCATCTTTGAGGGAATTTGCTTTTTCGAGTGAACGATCGATCGTGGTATTTCGTAGTGAGGTGTGTTTAACGTTGTTGCGTGCCACGAGGGTTCTCACGTGCCGGGCGCCCAATCGGGCAGTCCTACGCGTCTACGTCATCGCCTTTTTTCTGCCACGCGCGCCACGTGCGACAGCTTTCACAGTCACCCTGCGCAGCTCTATTCTGGCCTTTCCACGCTTCTTAACCGTTGTCGTATCTGCAGTCGTCTTGGCCTTCTTCCTCAAAGCGCCCTTCCCACCCATACCGGAGACCACGATGCCCCGCCGCAGCGCGACCTCGTCGGCATCCACCGACACGACCACGACTACAACGCTCCCAGAAAAGGTCCAATGGCCGTCAACGTTCACAGACGGACTACCGCTCCCTAAAATTGTCGTCTTCGATCTCGACTACACATTATGGCCCTTCTGGGTTGACACCCACGTCACGCCTCCGCTGAAGCCTGTCGAAGGTGGCCTGAAGGTCAAGGACAAATATGGCGAGGGCTTCGGCTTCTACAATGATGTTGGCGGCGTATTAGAAGCAGTGAGATGACTCGATGTCCATCATCTCCATGACGAAGCTGACGCAACGACAGCTCAAACACAAGAACATCCTCATCGCCGCTGCCTCGCGCACGTGCGCCCCCGATCTCGGCCGCGAAATGCTCAAGCTTCTCAAGATACCCAGCGCGAACGGGCCGTCCTCACGCGCGATAGACTACTTCGATCACATGCAAATATACCCCGGCAGCAAGACGACGCATTTCCAGAGGATACATAGAGACAGTGGGATCGAGTACGAGGAGATGCTTTTCTTCGACGATGAGAGTAGGAACAAGAACGTCGAGGTGCTGGGTGTGACTATGCAGCTTATAAAAGACGGTGTGACAAGAGATGAGATTGACAGAGGTGTGCAGAGTTGGAGAAAGAGGAATGGACGGACAAAGGCGCTGGAAGGCTGAGTGGATAGTCGCCAGGTGATGAGTATGGTCCCAGCAGCATGAAGAGACGAATCAAGTGAGATACCCATGACATAATTCAACCCCATTCGAATCGTACGAGGCGGGACGCCATCCTCAGCCTGACCCAGCTACAATATCGCGTCGTGTCGCGCCGCCGCCGCCACTTGGCAGCCCATCATGTCATGCGGACCGCCAACACCCAACCTTATATGCTAAGGCGTCCCTTTGAATCGAGCCAACGCATTTGGTGTCTTACAACTCCGCCTTGTATCTACACATTCTGGTACTCTGGTGGCCGCTAGCGGAAAGACGGACTCGGCATACGCAGCCCTGTGCCTCCATGCAGCCGTTCTAGGTCAAGGCTTGTCCCTAGCTTGCTCACAGTTCTTATAATAACACTTCTACGATGTTGGTGTGGCAAGGCGCCATGGGTCCGCCCCATACAGAAGCAACCTCCAGAGCCGCATCAGGCTGTGTGGCGCTCCTGGACCGTACCTTGGGCTGACCCGAACAAGGCTGTGGTTGTCATGTTACTAATGGCAATGGACGCAGATCAATCTCCTTTCAAAACGGCATTCTTGTACATACGACCATAGGATCTTGAACTCAGCGCTTCCCGTTCGCTCAGCGGTACTTAAGCAAGATACCGGCGGATTAGTAGTTAGGTGGGTGACCACTAGCGAATCCCCGCTGTTGTATGTTTTTGTTCTTTTTGCCCAGGGTTTCGAATGTAAGCCTGTCATGCGGCTCCGGAATCTTCACCATCCACGGCGGTGAACGTATGCACTGCACGAACGGGCTGCTTACACCGTATTCCCGCATCGTACCTCCCCGCCTTGCATCAGTTTGAACAAGTTGCTATTTTTTACAACTGGACTTGATGATCGGCAGTCTTATGCGGCCGTTTCTGGACAAGGCTTTCCTCAGTGTATGCGGCGCTCCTGCGAAGTCAATGTCATCATGACCACATCTGTCCGTTTCTGGCTCGGAGTGTGTAGTTTCTGGTACCCGAGAGAAAGGACAGGCGTTCCGTGTAGCCCGATCTGCACGAACAGACGCATGGAACAAGACACCGGTGAACTTCGAATCCAATTGAGATCGCACGGAGGAAGGCCTTTCTCATGGCTAGGTTCGAGCTGATCGGGGCTTCGGTACGGACGGCTTCTCATCACTAATCGTACGGTATGTCCACCTACTCTGTGTGTATGCTAGCTCATTCTAGAAATGCTGTTCTAGCAAACAACGCCAGTATCGCGCCGCGCCGCCGCAGCCTGCCAGCTAGTTACGGGATGCCAGCCCATTGCGGCTTCTTCGTCATA